AAATATATAAGATTCTGTCACTGACAGTGTTAAAAAACTTAGTGGATTTGAGAGAGAAGTCATGAGAAAATATAATAGCTCAACTGTGCTTGTTTTGGGAGACAATTTTGCAGGTGCATTTTCACTAATAAAGACATGTGTGTATATTTTAGGTTTTCACTAAATGGAAGCTAAGAAGTGGCCCTTATTCATGTTCTTTTCTACCCCTGGTGGTCTGCAGATTTTAATTTGCCCCTGGAGACTGAGATTTCTCTTTATATGAAAGTCCATGGGATCCCATTTTTCTTTGAATCAGTGCAGCTGTGGAATTTAAAGGGATAACAATAGCTATGATTAGTTATGGAGTCACTGAATGTTTTCCTACCAACTTCTCCTGTAAAGCAGGATTCAACTGGGCTAGAAGCATTGTCCTTGGGGAAGTCCGTTCCCCAATCTACTATTTGGGGCTGACATTGCCAGGTAAATTCTGGCATTTCATGACCTCCACTGCTACTCAAATGATGAGATACCAAGACCTTCTGATGGGGACCAAAGAAATAGGTATCTAAATGCACACAGTAGAACTTAAGCCTAACTCTGGGGAGAGACCAGTGACAGGAAGCATATCTCAGTGCAAATCCACCCTGCTGGTCAGCCACGCTACTCCCAGCTCTCCCGAAAATACTCAGCAGTCACTGCTACTCCTGAACAGTCCCACCTACCAGCTCCATTGCTGCTCTAACTAATGTCCAAAATTTTCTCTCGCCCGTATTCACTATCTGAGAATAACTCATCACGCCTTGAGATCCTGAGGTCACTGCTGATTCCTTGCCCTCCCTTTCTTCTATCATCTAAGTGATTACTCGTTTCAGGAGCCAATGTTCATTTTTTCTGGATGGCCACAGTCCTGGCCTGAGCTCCTGTCTCCCCACTTTAGGAACAGGCTTGGTCTTGATAGTTGACCCGTCTCTAGACCTGGTCCCTGTGTCCAGAGCGCCTAGACTCTAACCAGGACAAATCTCTTCTCTGTTCACCTGACTGAATTCCTCTTCTGGTCCTCTGATTCTGAATCCAGCTGTTGAGATCTTCCTGGAAGCCTTCCCTGACCACCCCAGACAGGGTCGGAGTCCCACAGAGGTCAACCCACAGTGCTGCCTTTCACACTGGATCTTAACTGCTGGTTACGTGTTTGTCTGTATCTCTCAGCTGCCCACCCAGGAGTGGTCCCTGATAAATTTCCACCAAAGTGTTAGTGGATGGGTGGGGCTGACTTGTTCTCACCTCTGTCTTCACCAATTCCAGTTACCCCTTGATGGTCAGTGTCCTGTTTGTTTTTGAACCAATTTATATTCACAGCATCTTTGAAAAAACCTTAGCACGTCCATTCATAATATTTATTCCTCATTTCTCTTGTCTTTGTGGGAATGTATACAATAGGTTTAACACTATAATAAATGCAACAATAGGTCTCAGAGCATAACTGCTTTCCTTAAAAGGAATATTTTGAGCAATGTTTACCTCTTCCAGTAATTTTGTTATAGCCACAGTCCTTTCTAGATCTGTTTTTGGGGGCGATCGCCTTTATAGTCTTATGAATATATTTTAATGGTGATAATCGAATGTTTGGCAGGTGATTTTTAAAGTATGTACATAGTCAAGTCACTATGAACTATTGTGAGTAAAGAGAATGATCAAGGTAGTAACTCTGATGGGTCAACACCTGAAGAATCTTGCCATTATCTTTCCCATTGGACATATTTGCACAAGGGAAATGAATTTCTAAAACTATCCTGCCGAGTTATGTTATTTTTGAGAAGAGTCGCTAGTATTCCAGGAGGACAACTTTCAATAACAGTCTTTGCTTATCTATTATAAAGTGCTTATTAAATTCGAGGCTGGAGCTTCACAGGCCTGTGATCATACTGTCTCACACTTGTTCAGTGCCGTCCAGCACCTATTATGTGGTAGATACTGAGAATGAATACGCCCACGGTCCTCGCCCGTAAGGACCTTCTAATCTTGTTAGGAAGATAGAAATACAAACAGTTCAGTGTGGAAAATAGATTATTGGTGTAAGATAAAATACAGTGGAGGGACTGTCTATGAGGGGGTAGGAATTCGTTACAGTGTCAGCAAAGCCTTCTCAGACTAAAGGATGAATGATTAGAAATTCACCAAGAGGAGGAGGGAAGGGGACCACAGAAATCATTCCAAGCCAAGGGAACAGAAGGTACAGAGATTGAAATAAGAAGATGTGTTGGGGGGAATCTCGAGTTATTCAATACTGTTATTGTGTAAAGTTCACAACGGGGGCAGCGAGGACAAGAGATGGAGTCCAATGAAGTGAAAGGCCCTTATTTACCATTTTTAGAAAATTAGACTTTATCCTGTAGGAGCCAGCGAGAGGCTCTGCGGGCAGGCTGAGCTTCCCAACAGAGTTGTAGACTCTCACATGTAATTAGTCACATAGGTTTTCCTCTTTCCCCCCATTGTCTCACACCCACCCCTTATTTTCCATTCTGACATCTACCTCATTTATTCAGGCCATCATCACCCCATGCCTGGACTGTTCCAGAAACTCACTGGTCCTTAGATTCCAGTTCACCGCTTGCCCTTGATAATTGATTCTGCATAGGATTATCAGAACCACCTTCTCCTTCTTTGTCTTTTTGAAAGATTTTATTTATTCGTAGAAGAACTGGGGTGTAGGCCAGAGGTGTGGGTGGTGAGAAGATTCACCAGAGACAGAGCGGGGAACAGAACAGGCAGATCTACTGAAAAATACTGCTGAGGGGAGCAGTGGGGAGACAGGAGAGGTCTGCTGTGCCCAGTGGGTCAGCTCCCTGGCTGGGGATCTAACTCAGGCCGCAGCAGTGATAACGCTGAGACTCAACCTCTAGGCCACCAGGGAGGCCCCAGAACCACCTTCTTTTCCATCAAGTCTCACTCCTGTTCAGAAACCTCCAGTAGTTTCCTGTCCGTCCCCCTCTTTGGCTTCAGTCACTCAAGGTGCTGGGTAATCTGTGCCAACCCCTTTTCTCTCCCTGACTGGGCATTAGTAATGGTGCCAGAGCTCATCTGCCTGGTCTCCCATCTTTGCTCTGATGGTGACTCTCCTCTGGAACGCTGTGCCCACACCAACTTTTCTCTTGTTATTTATTTCAGCATTTGTCTTATATATAGCAAACTCTTTCACCCAAGCCCCACTCTCCTGCCCTGGAAGGAATCACTATTCTGGTTATATGTAGGGTAATATATTCTTTTATTACATATGCACACCACCATAAACATGCTCTTTAAAACCTATAGTACTATTTTGAAAAAAAATTTATATACATAAATGGCACATTCTATATCTCCTGCAATTAGTTTTATCCACTCTCAGTGTACATAAAAGCTGGATCTCATGGACATGCACGAACACAGTCTTCTCAACCGGTGTACTGCACGTCGGTTTCTATCATCCATCCTGCACCCACCCTCGACGGGGGCACCTCTGGGATGGCTCCAGCGTGTGCCCATCACACGCAAGGCGACAGAGAACAATACCCTCCGATGCTCTCCTTGTCCCACACATATTTTACTCAATCTTTCAAGCTCTTGCCCTCACCCCAGCCCCGCAGGGCTGAGTCCCCAGCCCGCAGCAGCCAAGTCTGTCCTGCAAAGCAGCTCGGCCCCAGCGTCCTCCGAGTCATTCCATTGTGCTGAGCTCACCGCTATGCAAAGCAGGGCGCAGGGCCGCTGCTGCGGGATGAATGGGCGCAGCGGTGAATGAGTGGCGGGCGCTGCACACCCCACTGAAAGCCTCTGCGCCCCCACTGAAAGCCTCTGCACCCCACTGAATGCCCCTGCACCCCACTGAAAGCCTCTGCACCCCACTGAAAGCCCCAGCACCCCACTGAAAGCCTCTGCGCCCCCCACTGAAAGCCTCTGCACACCCCCACTGAAAGCCTCTGCACCCCACTGAAAGCCTCTGCGCCCCCCACTGAAAGCCTCTGCGCCCCCACTGAAAGTCTCTGCGCGCCCTACTGAAAGCCTCTGCACCCCACTGAAAGCCTCTGCACCCCACTGAGAGCCTCTGCGCGCCCCACTGAAAGCCTCTGCACCCCACTGAAAGCCTCTGCCCCCCACTGAAGCCTCTGCGCCCACTGAAGCCTCTGCGCCCCACTGAAAGCCTCTGCCCCCACTGAAGCCTCTGCACACCCCACTGAAAGCCTCTGCACACCCCACTGAAGCCTCTGCCCCCCACTGAAGCCTCTGCGCCCCACTGAAGCCTCTGCGCCCCACTGAAGCCTCTGCGCCCCACTGAAAGCCTCTGCCCCCCACTGAAGCCTCTGCCCCCCACTGAAAGCCTCTGCCCCCCACTGAAAGCCTCTGCGCGCCCCACTGAAAGCCTCTGCGCCCCACTGAAAGCCTCTGCGCACCCCACTGAAGCCTCTGCGCCCCACTGAAGCCTCTGCCCCCCACTGAAGCCTCTGCCCCCCACTGAAGCCTCTGCGCCCCACTGAAGCCTCTGCGCCCCACTGAAGCCTCTGCGCCCCACTGAAGCCTCTGCGGCAGCCGCCCTCGGCGCCGAGCCCGGGCCGCGCGGGCCCCTCCGCGCGCTCCTCCGGCCGCCGGCGCGGGGGCGCCCCCTCCCGCGCGGCAGCAGCCCGGGGCGCAGACCCCCGCGGGCGCGGCCGGGCGGGGGCGCGGGGCGCGGGGCGCGGGGCCGGCGGGGGCGGCGCCCGGATCCCTCCGCGCGGCGCCGGCGCTTCTTCCTGCGGGAAGCCCCGGGGTGCGGCGCGCGGGGCGGGGCCTGGCGGAGGCGGCGCCGGCGGAAGGACACGCGCGCCGCGCACCCGAGAAAGTTTCAGGCAAACTTCGGGCGGCGGCGGCTGCGCCGGGAGCGGCGATCGCGGGGCGCGGGGCGTGCGGCGCCGGAGCCCGAGTTCCCAGGCGCGGGAGGCGGCGGGCGGCGGGCGCGGAGAAAGGGGGGCTCCTTGGCGGGACCCCCTCCCCATGTGGATCTGCGCCGGCAGCCGCCGCGGCCGCGGAGGAGGCCCCCGAGAAGATGCCCGCGCTGCGCCCCGCGCGGCTGTGCGCGCTGCTGGCGCTCTGGCTGTGCCGCGCGGGCCCCGCGCGTGGTGAGTACCCGGCGCGCGCCCCCCCGCCCCCTCCCCGCGAACCCGGCCCGCCGTCGGCCCCCGGATCCCAGAAAGGGGGGGCGCACTCCGGGTCCCCTCCCGGGGCGCGCCCCCTCCCTGCGCGCGGGCGCGCCCCCACACGCGCCTCCTCGCCCGACGGGGCGGGCGCCCCGCGGGGCTCGCGAGCTCCTCCCGGGCGCCTGGGGAGCGGGGCGGGGTGGCCCGTCGGGTTCCGCGTTTCTGGGGTCGCCACGGCGCGGGGCGGGCTGCGGGGCGCGAGCCCTGGCGCCCTGGACCCCGGAGGGGCCGAGCGGAGGAAAGCCAGACGCGGGGGCCCCGGGGAGTCGGGGGGCCCGGGGAGTCGGGGGGCGCGCAGGCCCCCAGCCCGGCGCTGGCACCTTCGCCGCCCGCCGCGCTGAGCTGCGCCCGGGGGGCCGCGCGCCCGGGCGGGTGGGCGGGTGGGGATGCGCGCGGGGGTTGCCGTGCGCCCCGGTTCGGACCCTCGGGAGCCCGGGTGCCCAGGAATCCGGGGTGTTTGCTCGCGCCTCTGGAAGGTGGAGGCAGCAGAGCAGGAGAACTGGTGTGGCTGCATGCTGGGCCACATGATTTAAACATCTCAACTGCTGTTATTCTTTCCGAGGCGCGCAGCTCGGAACCCTGGCGCAGTTTCAAAGTCTGTGACCAGCCCCAGGAATGTGGTGTGACGATCCCCAACTCCTCCAACCTGGCAGCGGCCTGGGCTGCTCCTTTGGCAAGGGGCTGGGGGGTGGGGTCGGGGCGGGGTGGGGAGAAGTGGATACGTTCATTCAAAGTGCCCTTTTGGAAAGCCTCTTTATGGTTGGGTATTCGCAAAAGTCCTTCTGAACATGGTTGGACCAGGGGAAGGAAATCAAATCCTACCCGTGCCACCCACACGCTGGGACTCCACATTTCTTCACGCTGTGCGCTGGCAACGCTTGGTCTTGGGGGCCCTGCTCTGGAATCCTGGGTTCAAATCCAGCTCTGCTGCGTGAACGCAGCAATAAAATGGGAATGAAATGGCCCAGTTAATAGGATTAATTAAGAGAATGTATATTAAAGCCATGGCAGGCAAAAGGCATGCAGAAGGTCCTTTCGAGGCAGAGTCTATTTTGCTCTCTCTAGACTCTGCTTCCAGTGGGATGTGCGAGTTTGCAGACCTGCAAGAGGCCCCTCCTTAGCCTCACCTGTCCTGGAGGAAGATTTTTACCTTTCGCTTTCCCAAACCAAAGCAGAGAAACCTTCAAGTGCATGAGCTGTATCTTTTTGCAAAGAAAATGTGAAGAAGATAGTGGCTTCAGAAAAAGTTGCTCTTTGTTCATTGTTCGCTGGCGGTCAGCATGCCAGTCCCAGATGTTTAAAGGGGAACCAGATTATTTATCACAGCGCTGGGTGGTTCACCACCACCCTCTCCTCCTGGGGAGGTTCAGACTCCTGCCACCCTCTCGCTGCCCGAGAATTCCCGAAGCGGACCGGGAGGCGGTGTGGTGATGAACCAGGACTGTTGTTTCAAGAAGCATTTAACAAAACATACCCAGCCGTATTTTTTGTCTTTATTTTCCTTTGCGCGGAACCTTGAGTGTGCATGTGGATTCCGGGTAGAGAGGGGTATGCACGGTGGGCTACTCTGAGGCTTGCGGTGCTTGGCCTGCCGTGAACTTGTTTTCGTAAATACGGTCATCTTCGCCTTCTGGGGTCACCTCACCTGTGAAGTGAAGCTCAAGGAGCAACCTAATTTAGAGCGCCTGGGGAGTAATAAAGGACCACAGTGATTTGCAGAATTGTGTAAAATGGTAAGGCTGGTGTCACCCTGGGGTTACTCTGACACGGGGTTCTTTTCATGCTGGGACACAGGAGGATGTCCTCTTACACTGGGGAGGTGTTGGTGCCACCGTCGGCTTTCAGTGGACAGGTTGCCTGTTCCTTAACTCCAAGGACAGGATTTAGATCCTTTGACTATGGGCAGGTGTTCTTGGGATCTAAACTGATGCAGTAGAGGGATGAAAAGGCCTGTTTCTTGGTATAAATCTTCAATCTTCTGAGTCTCGCTGTAACCACTTCTTGGATCCTCTTAGTCTGTTATCATTTTTGCTTTGCGGAGATACCAATTATAATACATCCTTCCACAATTTTGAGTGTTCCTGTACTTGGCTTGTGGCCAGGTGTTAATTTAAACATCACTGAGCTCCTAAGGCAAGGAGCTGTCAGCCCGTTGCCTCGCTGTCTAAACAGTCGCCAGACCACCGCCTTACTCCTTGTTTTGCAGTGGGAAGCAACGCCTTGGTTTTACTGCCAGCTAGAAAATTTCTCAGGTGATTTCTTTTTAAAAAATCATAGAACATTTGTTTTTTTCTTTTCGATGGAGATGAAATTTACCATGAAACTATTTTCCTTTTCTCTTTCTTCTTTCTATATTCTTTTTTTCAGGGGGTGGGAGAAGGAGGAAGGAGAGTTACTGTCTAGTCCCCTTTCTTTTTCTAGTGTTTTTACAGACATCTCCTTGGCCTCTCTGCCCCTGTCCCACTGTGTTAAGTCTTCTGGAGACTTGTTGGCACAGAGGAGTGACTTTGGTTCACCTGAAGCGCAGTTGCTGACTTCAGGGCTTTAGAAAATGTTTAAATTCAGTGGGATATGCTTGGATGCTTCCGAGCAGCCTTACAATACATTTTAAAAATATCACACCCACAGAAATTCTGCTTTACCCACAGAATTTGCATCCATCTAGTTCCCACTCTCCGATGCCATTCCTGTGGGCCGCCTCCTTACCTGTCCACTGGGCTAGACCGGAGCTCCACGAATGCTTCTGGAACTTGACCCCCAGGGTTCTGATACTGTAGATGGGAGAAACTGTCTATTTTCCAGGGCTTACAGGTGACTCTGATACAGTATCCTGGTTGGAACCCACTGGTAATTCATTATTCTGCTTTCAGGTATGTACGTGGGGTCCATCTTGCTTCCCATTGATTTTAAAATCCTGTCATCCTTTCTGAATTCACCTCTCCTCTTCCCCTTTGATTAAAATTACCTGAAACTGACAGGTTTTCTCTTGTTCTACTCTTCTCCTTACTTTGGTCTGCCAGGTGTGCAGTGGGACTAGGAGGCTACCAGGACTAGGAGCCAGAAGCCCAGAATTCTCCACACCTGTCGCCAGGTCTGTGACCTTGCAGGCGGCCACCGTTCTGGCGGTCCGCTCCGCCAGGCCCTTGGTCCACAGGCAGTGAGCTGATTTCAGGGTTGATACTAGACTCTCAGCCCAGGTACCTCACCCACAACGTAGGACGATGTGCTGAGAGCCTGGTACCCCACCCCTTCTCCGTAGCACTTCCATCTTTTGTGCAAATGAGCTCCCGTCCACAAAAACACTTAGAACATTCTCATGTGCTTTTGGCTTTTGTTATTCATCTCTTTAAAAAAAATTGTAGCTAATACCTATTAAATATTTTAATATTTTAATAGCTAATACCTATTAAAAATTGTCCCTTTTCATTTATGTGTTCTAGTGCCCCGCCCCTACCTTTCTACATGAACAATTGCTTTTAGTCATTTTCTTATTCTGGACTACTGTGGTCCTCCAAGGCAGTTTTTAAAAAATAGTATTTGCAAGAGTCATTGCTTACCTTCCATTTGGGGAAAAACCATTTTTTTCCTTCCCCAGATGTTTCCTTTCAACTTGCCGTTTTGAATTGCTTCGTATATAAATGTGTGTGCCTGGCCTCTGTCTCTGTCTCTGTCTCTCTCTGATCACTTCTGCATTCATAAAGGTCACTTTGACTTTGGAATTTAACCTCAAAGGCGCTGGCATCCCCACCCGCTTGCTTTTCGTTTGAGTTATTTCTACTGCTTCCTGTATTTTTATGTTATTAGGCCGCTGTTTCTGATATTTTGCTCAGCATGGGTGCACCTCTTTGTCAGTTGGTCATTCTGGAACCAATGGAACAGTATTTCTAAAATGAGGGTTGAGTTTGTGTTTGCTTACATGGGTTTTTTTTTGAGATTTTTATTTCAGCATTAACTGGAGATTGCAAATTTTATTAGAGTCAGAAGAAATGCACACTTAGTAAAGTATCTTTTTCCACAAGCAAGTTCCTGGAAAACGCTCCCACTGACAAAACTTTAAAGGTGAAGCATGACAGGCAGGCTTTGGAGAGAACTGTGAAGCGTGTAAGTTCGCTCTGCCTGCGTAAGGTTGGCATTTTGGGGGCAGGGGTGTGCCACACAGATGCCTTCCTTGGCCTACAAAGCCGGCCTGGCACATGCCCAGCACACCTTGGCGGATCTTGGGCACAGCACCTGCAGCTCCCTCTCTGTGCACTTTACCTTTGGGACGGCCGGAGAGGAGAGGCCGGCGGTGAGTCAGGGCTGTGGCACTCTGCGCCTTTCTCTTTGAAGAGAAACGATGAGGCAAAGCTGTGACTCTTAGGCTATCTCTTTTTATTAATTATGGGCCCCTGAAATCTTCCTCTCTGTTGCCTTCAGTCTTGGCAGCAACTTTAAAATCCATGTAGTCCTTCTGTCCAGCTGACGCTAGGCCTGACCCCCTCCTGCCAGCCCGGGCAGCGGGTGCACCGCCTTGTCTGCTGGGCCACCCCGGGGAGAGGTAACTCCCTGCCCTTCCTCACCTTCGATTCCCACATCTTTTATAGTCAACTCTTAAATGCTTCCTCAGGATGGATCTTCACAGGAATTATTCTCATAGAGTCCTGAGCCCCGTGTGGGTGAGGGGACCTAACGGGTCCGACACCTGCCCCCCCATAACAAAGGAGCAAAGCCATGTGGGGAGCATGGGGCTGCCCGTTGGGTGATTGCTCCGTTAGCATCCTGGCCCTGGTTTCAGGCTTCCTTGCTCACTGGGCACCAGCGGGAGGGAAGAGTCTGTGGAGCAGCGATCCTTAATCTCCCTCCTCTTCAGAACATCCGGGGCGTTCTCTTGGAGATTCTGATTCAGTGGGTCTGACTGAAAGAGTGTCTGGGAATTTGTATAT